ACAAACTTTCTTGAACTCACGAGTCAACTGATCATTACGTTTCAAGAATCAAGATACTACAAAAAAAAAATGGGAGCTTGCGGTTCACGTGAATCTCGGAGAACAGAGACGGCGAAGTTAATATTACAAGACGGAACGTTACAAGAGTTTTCATCTCCGGTAAAAGTGTGGCAGATTCTTCAGAAGAACCCCACGAGCTTTGTTTGTAACTCAGACGATATGGACTTCGACGACGCCGTTTTAGCCGTTGGTGGTAGCGAGGATCTTCGTCCAGGAGAGCTTTACTTCGTTTTACCGTTGACATGGCTGAATCATCCGTTAAGAGCAGAGCAAATGGCGGCTTTAGCGGTTAAAGCTAGCTCTGCGCTTACGAAAAGCGGTTGGAGTTGCGGAGAAGATGAAGCTAGAAAAGTCTCTAATGGTGAGTGTAGAGTGAAGAGTAATGGTTGCGGAGGAAGAGGAGGTTGTGGTGGTCGTGGTAAAGGGAGGAGGAAGTTTACGGTGGAGTTGAGTTCGATAGCTGAGTAGGGGTATTTTTGTCAGATAATGTGTATATTGTAATTAGAAAGTTCGACTTTTTTCCTTTAATGTTACAAAAGATATATCCAGTTGATTTCGCTTTTTTTTATAGTACTGTTAACTATTGTTACAAAAATGGACAAATTGAGACTTCAAGTCACGAGGATGAAGTGATTGAAAGCTAAATTACGTAATTGCATACAGTTCAAAAAGAGAAGTAAATTGCAGTTGCATTTTAGTACTAAAACTCAATCCTCTCTGGCTTTTTTTGGTCAACACCGCGTAATGGTCCGCTTTGCATATTTACGCTTTTACCCTTAAATCGTTATTGTTAAAAAGTTAGATGAAACGTCACCGTTCACATTGCAATTCCTTTTAAAAATCAGATATCACTATCAAAGACCATAAAAAAAACCCATTATCTGTGTAATCTTTAAACGGGCCGGCTGGTAGATAGAGAGTGGCACTGAGAACTATAAGGGGCTTTCGCAGTAGCGTCTCGGCTCATCAACAACACAAGAGGGTTAATAGTGAATAACTGGTGTAAATTCGGTCACTTGGATGTGGAGACGATTAACCATGTTCTCTTTCAATGTGATCGAGCGGCACAAATGTGGGAAGTTGCTGGACTTTCTACACCACAACAGGGCTTCCGCGCGAATCTTGACGCCAATGTCACATATGTGTTTAATTTGATAGAGACAAATGGATTTGCTACACAGCAAGGTAGAGCGATTCCATGGATCTTATGGTCTATTTGGAAAAATCGCAATACAACTCTGTTAGCTGGGATTCAAAACTCGGTCCAAGTGTTAATTCAAAAAGCTTATGAGGAAGCTAAATGTTGGCATGAGGTTAATGAAGGAGTGACAGGGAACGAGCAGAATAAATGGCCAAGAAAGGACACAGAAAGTAGATGGCGTAAACCAGAACAAAACATGATCAAATGCAACATTCATGGCAATTGGAGGAACCCGACTCTATATTGTGGAGGATCTTGGATTGCTAGAGATGAATCGGGTTCGGTACTGTTTCATGCTCGAGATGCTCTCACACGATCTCGTAATAGGATCACTACAAAACTTCGAGTATTGATCTGGACAATGCAGAGTCTGAGGGATTTACACATCAAGAGTGTTATCATAGCTTCGGATTGTACTACGGTGATTAATGCTCTGACAAAACCTCAGGAATGGCCGAGATATCGGGTGTTCATTGATCAAGTTCTTACTTTGAAAGCAGAGTTTGATAAATGATGTTTTGAGTATGATGAGGACATTAGAATCGATGACGGCTAATAGAGTCGCCAGAGAGATATCTTTAAGTGTGACACGCGACGGAAGACCCCAACCTTACCTAGCACGCGGAGGTCCAGCTTGGTTACATAACTTAATTGCGTGTGAATCTTTGTACTAGTATCTTTAGTGCTTTTGTCATTGGGTGAGATGCGTTGGTGTGTTCTTTGTTTCGTATGTTTTCGTTTCTCTCCATGGAGAGAGATATCACTTTAATAAAGACACTCAGACGTTTAAAAAAAAATCAAACGGTTTCCAAA